TCACGACAAGGACATCGATCCAAGATCCATCCATCCGACCTCAAGGAGACAACCGAAGCAACACTTTCTTCATCATCGAGCAAGGTGAATACGAAGGAGAAGAAGGCTTCTGGGTTGAGGATGAAGAAGGACTTGAAGGATTCATGTCAAACAACGATGAAGAGACGTTCTAGATCCTCGAGGAGAACGATGCGTTCATAGCAAGGAAAGTGTCGGGGCGGAACTTCAAATTCAAGAAGAGAAAAGGAAAAGGAAAATCAGGAAACAAAAAGGGCAGTCACCAACGAGGTGGCTTCAAACCCTTTCGGAAAAGCGGTTCTGGCGGGAAGGCCAATATGGCCAATGAAAATTGTGATCCCTACGACCAGGCATATTGGGGAAAAGGCAAAGGAAAGAAGGGAAAGAAAGGAAAATCAAAAATTCCAATATCCCTATGATGGTATCCATCCTATGAGAATCGCAAGGGAAAGGGCGGACATGACAAAGGAAAGTCCAAAACGTTCGCAGCCACCTCAGAGAAGACGGAGGAGCAGCCCGCCATCCAGCAGACTGCACCATCCACAGAGCCTACCTATGCCGGTCCAAGATTGGGATCAATCATGGACATGGAACGAACAGGCCATCCACGGGAAGCTGATCCAATCAGATACAGTTTCTGAACACAATCTGTCCGTCACAACAAATCACAGCCTTCTGTTACCAAGCTGATGGCGCCTGTCATCAACCCTCAGCACAATCCTACCTATGCGATTCCGGACAATGGATGTACCAGATCTATGGGCAGCTGGCATGCAATCCAGCGTTTTACTCAGGCAATCGAACCAATGAAGGACATCATCTCCTATGAGTACATCCCGGCCGAGACCAAGTTCACTTTTGCAAACGGAGAGACCGCCAGGGTAAATTGGACCCTGCATCTTCGATATCACACAACTCCTCCGTGCAGTACCAACATCGACGTCCTCGAACAAGGAACTGTACCGATCCTTCTCAGCATCAGCCAGATGCGGAACCTCTACATGACCATCGAGCACACACCTCAATGTGACAAGATCACATGCAAGGCCTTTGGCATGAACCGTCAAGCAGTTCCAGTATCCGGTACAGGACATGCACTCGTCGACCTCGCTGGAGTTGCAAGAGTGAAGGCACATGGAGAAATTGCTCACCAAGAACTATGTCTACGATGATGACAATAGCATTAAGTTTCCTTCCGGGGATCTCTCCCAGAGTGAACTGTTTGTGCAGCAAAATCATCCGAGACAAGGGAGGACCTAGCAACTCCTAAAATCATCGGGTCTCAGAAGCAGGACCGTTGGATCCTTGACAAGAAGAACAAGCAGCTCATCCGTGTGCACATCACGCCCCGCAAGGCGTTGTTCACACCAAATGGAGCCAAGGAATGTCATCCTAGAAGACAATTGGAGACTTACATCCCAGGCAAACAAACCAATGATCAAGCTGTGGAAGGGTAAGACCATTTTCACCTTCGCGGACAATTCGCTTAAAGAAGAGGAAGCAGGTTCAGGATCGGCTGCAGACAGGATCATCGACAAGAAGGGCCGGTCGACCATTGAGCCAGATCCAATCGCACCATCCTCAGAAGAACCAGCATCGCTTCCGCTTGCCCTAGGCAGAATCCACAAGCGATTGTCAAATCCCGAAGAGCTGAAGAAGCTCCACCTCCAGCATCATCACATGTCAACAGATCAATTTCGATTTAGAACTCGCTCACTTCATTTGCCGAAATCAACATTCGATCTATTTGACAAAATCCGAAGTGAATGTGAAGTTTGCCAAGCGGCAAAACATGCACCATCACGAAGCAAGACGAGTGGACTTCGGGCGGACACCTTTGGTGACATGACATTCATTGATCACTGTCAAGTTCCTCTTGGAACAGGAGAACACATCATTGTTTTTGTCATCCTGGATGGAGCAACAACATTGCTCACTGCAGAGGCAGTGACCACTACGCAGGAAGTCGAGAACATCACTGTCCTCAAGAACTATTTTGACCAGTACCACTTGCAGCCCAAGTCAGTTGTCGCAGATCAAGCCTTCATGACAGAGACACGGGAACATTTCCATCAGTCCCTGGACATCACACCGATATCCTTGGGACCGAATACCCCATGGCCCAATCGAGCTGAAGCAGCAGTTCGACTCCTGAAGGCACAACTCAAGATCATGCTAAGTTCCATCAAGGCAGGAACTGCACCTGCAACACTGAAGACAGTGACATACAGACAGCTGGTGAAGGCCGCTGCAACTGTCAGGAATCAGAGTGTCACGTACGGGGGTGTAACACCATTAGAGCTCGCATTCGGAAGACGACCAGCAGATCTCATCCAACTTGATGTCGCAACACCAACGCAGTTGACGATTGACAGGAATGAAGAAGAGCTGACAGCCATCCAGATCAAGCAGCTGTCAAAGCAAGCGTTCCAAGAAGCACGTCAATCCGAAGACATCCGACGAGACCTAGCTCAAAATCTCCGAATGAGTTCTAAGCCTCTTCAGGTGAAGGACAAGGTTTTCTATTGGCAGGAAGACAAATCCAAGATCCGTTCCGATGGAAGCAAAGGAGGAATATGGCTGAAAGGAAAAGTCATTTCCATTGAAGGAGCAATGGTAGGACTTGATCTTGGGACTCGACTCATCAAGGTTAACATGACGAAGGTCAGGAAGGATGAAACCATCCCTCCGAAGAAACCTGGAATTGATCTTCTATTGCCAGAAGAGCGAGAATCCTTGCAGAAGGAGCAACCTGGCTCCTCTGCAGACACCAAGAAGCAAGAGTCATCCGCACCAGCTCCTAAGCCAAAAGCCTCAGTGCCGTTACGTATCGCGGGAAAAACAACTCCCAAACCTGCAGCACCTCATCCGGCAGAGAACATGTTCGTCGAGGACCTCGCATCTGTTCCTGAACAAGCACATTGGAACTGTGTACGTAAAGGAAAGATCCACGTTCTCGAGATCTTTGCAGGAAGTGCCAGATTCAGCCAATGCTGTGCACTATCAGGTCTTAAGGTTGGGACTCCCGTAGACATCCGAACCGGATTCGACGTAATGACATCCAAGGGACGACACATGGTCATGGAGATCATCAGGGAACAAGCGCCTGATGTCATCCTAATGGCACCGGTCTGTGGACCATGGTCAAATATGCAGAACATCCAACAAGACCAACAAAAGGTCGGGGAAGAGCGGAGACGCTATCTCCCCATGGTTGAATTTGTGGCATCCATTGCGCGATATCAGTTGAAGCACGGAAGATACTTCATCATTGAAAATCCCCAGACATCCAGGATATGGTATCTGCATTGCGTGCAACAGTTGTTTTCAGATCCATCCGTGACCTGGGGAGATTTCCATTTCTGTGCATACGGACTGAAAGATCCTGAATCCGGGCTCAGAAGTCTCAAGCCCACAAGCTTGATGCTCCCGAGGTAATGAGACCGATCTTCAGAAGGTGTAAAAATTTTCCAGCTCAGTCAAGCATGAACACCAGCCCCTAGAGGGAAATGCTGGCACTTTCGGAAGCAGGACCTACCAGTTCTGTCAGGATCTCGCGCACATCCTCCTACGACATTTGAAGGTGAAACTAAGAGTGCACGATCATCATCGGTCATGTTCTTGCATAACTGGTCAACATGATGCTGATCTGTGTATTTCTGATGAGAGAATCCACATCGTGGTGATGGGCCGGAGGTCACTCGTCCAAGAAGGACAGGGTTGCCTTCAATATCTCTCAGAACCGTGAAGGATCCGGTGTTCGCACAGATCTTCTGTTCGGCTGTCATGAGTGACAAATGTGCTTCATCAAGAACGAGATCAGCTTGGTGATCTTCGTAGGATCTGGTCCTCTGAGAGTTCTGATTCTCCACCTTCCTGGTCAGTATAGCTCATGGTTCTTTCTGAACTTCCAGTGCCGGATGAGGTTGGAACATGAGGGATCAGTTCTTCATCACTCTCATATTGTACCGGCAAGTTAGCTGGAGGAGAATGCTCAGGTGACTCATCATTGTCATCTGGCTTCTTCTTCTTCTTCTTCCCAGTCTTCTGCTTCTTAGTTGGACTGCCAGTTGGTTCTTCTTGCACAAGTGTTGGCAGTTCAAGAGCTTCATCTTGGTCTTCTGCTTCGGGATTCGTAAGAATCGCAGGTGGTGAAGGTACCACGACAATCGGAAAAATTGGCTGAGATGATTGCGACTGTGACGGCAAAGAGACATCACCCCCCAGTCGATTGAGTCCGCTTGAGGATGAAATGGACTGTTTTTGCCGTTTAAGCGCTGCATCTCCTCCGCCAGGCTTGTCGTGCGGCGGCAGTGGTGGATCCACTGGACTGTCTGGTGATACACTGCGTGGTGCTGGCGGTATGGGATGATCAGGCTGATGTGGAGGATCCGGAGGAGGATCTGAGATGTTCTCGTCCGGAGGTGTTGGTGGTCTTGGATCAGGCATGGGATGGTCCGGTTGATCAGGTGGCAGCTGTGCGTCGGGTCTTGGAGGTTCATCCGTTGGATCCGATGGATCCGTCGCGATGGGCATCGGCCTGATAGCCGGCGCATCCGTGAACGACTGATGAACGGATGAAAACATCACAGCATGCCAGGTCTGCGGATCGTAGTTCTCCCAATTGCATTTTGATGCCGGCAAGACCCAAACTCTATTCAGCTGATCAGGTTGCCAGAAGGATATGATCGCATCGTCCGGAGGTGACGTAATTGGCATGTTGATGCCAATGGTGTGGACGTATGCGGTGCATGCATCATACTGAGTGGATGAGACGCACAATTGTCTCAACTTCTTGCAACCGTTCCACATGTTCTGACATCGCCAGTCATTAGGATCGAGCAAGCTGAGTTGAGAGGCGCAGAGAAGCCGCATGTTTGCCGCATGTTTTTCTCAACACGTGGCCGGTCGGCGCAGTGAGAGGCTATCGCGGCTGCAGGAAAGCCCGCGGCCGGACCCCAATGATGCGGACAAGGTTTGATCTAAAGCTCTACAGGACACATGCCAGTCCGAGCGCAGTCCCAGCGCGGCAGCGTGAACGCTAGCCAAGAAGGAGCTTGCGGCCCAGCCTTCTTCCCGCGGGCCGTGCGCTTGGATAGCTTGCCGCTCTCCGCCTGCTGGGCGGCCTTGGCCACATTAGCTTCGGATCGGGCAGCTTTGACAAGCGCTCGAGCTTGCTTCAGCAGGGCCGCGGATGACCTTGAGAAGGCGACAACCTTGCTCTCAGCAGCCAAGCCACTTTGCTTCAGCAAGTGAAGCGCATCCGTGCTGGCCTTCGCCCACGTGGCCAACTGGGCTTGGCACTCAGTGAGCTGCGGGATTCTCGATGCCCAGCTTTTTGAAGCTGTCAAATACACTTTGCACGCCCGCATTCGCCGGATTGAGCGCGGCGACAGCCTTGGCAGCAAGCTTCTTCTGCTTCGCATTGTGGCTGGCTGCAGCAGCTGTGGCCTTGGCCTCTTTCTTCGCGAGCGGGCGGGGCAGCTCTAGAGCGGCCCTTTTTCGAGGCAGGCTGGGCGGGCAGCGTGGGAGGCTCTGGCACGTCCAACTTGCAGTCGTCCATCGCCGCGCCAGCGGAGGCCTCGGCTCCCTTCCGCTTGCCCAGGAACTTGCGCTCTCGAAGGACGCGCTCCTTTTCCATGAGCCGCTGCTGCACTTGTTCGATGATATCTCGGAGAACTTCGCGATGCGCCGGGACCTGGAACACCTCGCCGAGCACAGGGCAGTTCCAGGACGGGCAGCGAGAAAGAGTTCCTAGCTGCAGTCCGCAGCCAGCCGCACCAACTTTGGCTTGGAGTCCATGATAGCGCCGTGCTCCTGCGACTTGACCACCCTCTTCACAGTTTGGTCGATCAAGACGCAGCGGACAGTTGCCCAAGTGAGCGAGAGCCGCCGGCGCAAGACTCCTGATCTTTTTCCCCACATTCTTGCGCGGGGTTCTTACTTTTACTGTCGTCATCCGTGTCTCGCGTTGCCCGTCGTCGCCCTCCTCCTCCTCCTCCTGGCCGCCGTCGGGACCCTGTCTGTTTGCGTGGCAGGCGCAGCACTTTCTGCATGTCAATGCTGTTTTGCATCTTCCTCTCACACACTCAACTTAAACTTACTGCTCTCACTCACTGAACTTAAGCTTACTGACTTTGTCATACTTAGTCTCACTCACTCAAATTACACTGACTTGGTCACACTTACTCTCACATACTCAACTTAGACTCCCTGACTTTGTCATGCTTACTCTCACATACTCAACTCAGACACAGTGGCTTTGCCACACTTACTCTCACACACTTAACTTGCACTCACTGACTTTGTCACACATATTCTCACATACTCAACTTAGACTCAATGCTGCTTTGCGTGGCAGGCGCAGCGCTTTCTGCGTGTCAATGCTGTTTTGCGGGGCAGGCGCATCACTTTCTGCATGTCGATGCTGTTTTGCGTGGCAGGCGCAGCGCTTTATACTAGTCTGCGCAAGCGGGCCGCCGTCGGGACCCTTTCTGTTTGCGTGGCAGGCGCAGCACTTTCTGCATGTCAATGCTGTTTCTTTGCGTGGCAGGCGCAGTAGTTTCTGCACGCGGATGCTGTTTTGCATGGCAGGCGCAGTACCTCAAACTACCTTGCGCAAGCGGGTGCGACTTGGAAAAGCTTCCGCGGACAGGGCGGGGATGGAACCCGTGCCCCGGCGATCCCAAAAGCAAGTGCGCAAGGCATGAGGCAACTTCCACAACCCAGCCCCAGCTCCAAAGAGTCTCAAAAACCGTTCAGTTCTTGCATGTCGGCCACGCGATCCCCTCAGGGTCGTGCGCGAAACGCAGCAACCGCAAAAAACTCCAGTTTTTGCACCTCGACGACGCCAATACCCGCAAAGGGTTGATCCGCGCATGCTCAAATCCAAAAAAAATGAAAGCCCTCAGTTTTTGCATTTCGAGCACGCCGATCCGCAGAGGGTCGCAATCTCGATCGATGACAACAACCCCACCCCCCGCCAAAGTAGAAGATTCTTCTTGCCGAGCTCTTTCTAACTTTCTCTCTTTCACGCGCGTTAAGAATCTGTTCTATGAACATTTGACCTTAACGTACAAAGCTGCGGACGCCGAGCCTCTTCACTTGGCCCTGTACACTTGGATCTACGCACCTGGCTTCATGCGCCTGGCCTCATGCGCCTGGCTTTCTGCACTTGGCTCCATGCACTTGGCTCTATGCACTTGGCTATACACTGGGCTGTGTGCACTTAGCTCTGTATATTTGGCTGTGTGCAAGCGGCTCTGTGCAAGTTGGTCCAAGGGCTCCGCACGGAAGAGCCCTTCGCGATGAATTCGAGAATCGTGTTTTTCGCGGTCAATCTAAAGCAGCGCGCTCTTGACCACCCACCTGGCGCCTGGCGTTCCACATTTAAGGTTGTTGGGTCTCCCATGTGAATCAGGAGGGGAAACTGGACCTTGAGCCCCACCCACCTCTTCATCTGCGTTGAGCTTGCTGTAACTTCGCTGCTGCGCTAAAACCCTGGCTTTTCATTACTCGTTCAATGTCTGGGATTGGTGCTTAGCACATGCGGGCTCATAACAGAACTGAATTGCAGCTTGTTGTTTTGCAACGGGTTGGAGGCTCACATATTGGCGGGATCTTCGCTAGGTGATGCTTATCGACTTTGGCCTCTCAACCGTCGTGCCGGAAGGGCACAAACTGAAAGGCGGCCTTGTCGGCTCCGCTGCCTACTTGTCGCCCGAGATTGTGGGCTTGCAGGATCACACAGCATTACCCTCAGATGTGTGGGCACTGGGCATCGTGCTCTACGTGTTGCTGTGTGGCTCTTTCCCTTTTGGCTTCGACACGACCTGCCGGACTGATTGGAAGCTTCAACTGCCCGACGCAATGGCCGGGGGCACCAGAAGGGTCCTCCACAGATCGCTACATGAGGAGGAGGCAGGCAGGGCCACAGCAGCCGCACTACTCGTGGACCAGTGGCTCAAACCACTCACGGAAAGCCTGCCTTGCTGAAATGGCAGCGCCGGCGATGACTGTTGTGAATGCTGCCATGACATCATGTATGTCGCTGCTGGGGATGCTAAAGCCTTTCAAGGAAGGCGTCCTGTGGCGTGTCAATAGGCGCCTGCGCTGGCTGCAAGTGTCAGGGTGCCTTGGTCATGTTGTAACGATGAACAGCATGCGACTTCACGCGAACCCAATCTTTTACAATACTGGCATTGCGCAGAGCTTCCCTTCCTTCTGAGCAGTGGCGATTGGGCATGGTTTTTTCCGGCAGATTAAAACGCTGAAGTTACAGCTGACAATGGAATATGGAAGCAAGCAATTCAGCCGTCGCCTCTCAGTGGCAAGCAGCAGTATGGCTGTACATCACGCTCCGAGCGACGTGATGGCTACAGCGCCGTGGGTCTAGATTGCAGAGATTTGGCTCGGTCCTGTGAGCCTATATTGCTAGGCTGAGGCACTGGCGACTGGGTGACTGGGGTGTGTTTCACCAATCATGAAAGCCAGTCTGACCGGTTCAATCAGGGCCGCTCCACTACAGGCACACCCCCGCCAAAAGCTATGCAACACTATGAAGGGCCCGTCAGAGGGGGGAGTGCTTTCTGCTGTTTCTGCATATGCCAGCTGAAAGCCATAATCATCTTGAGTTGGCTTTTCCACAGTCGGCAGTTGCAAGCCAGAATCAAAAGCTTCTTTGCGCCAGTCGTGCTTGTTTGCGGCAGATTGAAATTCGCGAGTCCCTTTGGTTGCTACAATGGCCGCAGCGCCGATTCCATCTTGCACAGTGGTTGATTTCGCTGGCTCACAGCGTCTTTGTTTGACTCAAAGGCATCTAACACCAATGGCAGGAGTTATTTTCCTGGCAATGGCCGCGAGCTGTGCATTGGCTGCGCGCGAGGACATTTGTTTATCGTTTTGCACACAGAGAAGCTGCCTGTTCTGACTGAACGTTGAACAGCGTGGGAGGAGCCTTTGCGCTTCCTTCCGAGTGTGGGAACTTGGTGACCTGCTGCTAAAGCGCCATGGCTGTGGCGTCTCAAGTCTTGCCTCGACAGGTACGCGCCGCTTGTGCCCTGCACGCCCGTGACGTCTGCCCCGGACACGGGCTCGGGGCAGGGCCTCCCAAGAAGCACACACAACATCTCCGGAGTCAGAATCGTGCTTGGATTCTTTGGGGGGCAAATCAACAGCCAGGCAGAGCATGTTGTGACCATGCCTGGGAGACAAATTAACAGCCGAGCAGATCAGGTGGCCAGGCGTTAGTAAGGAAACCAGCGGGGAGACAACCTAATAGCCGAGCAGGGCAATTCGTGATGAGATCCCACACCATTTCGTGACCTCGTCTGATTCTATGTGTGAGTTCAGAACCCCAGGAGGAAATTGTTTGGAAAACAAACCAGCAAACAAACAAACGTCTCTGACAAACAAAGGAACAGGCTTCTGTTCTCCAACGAGGTTCATCCTGAGAGGACTCAAATCGACTCCTCCGGATCACAGGACCAGACTGATGGCGAGTTTTCACCACCATGGCAGACGATCCCGTCGAGCATTTTGACTCCCCTGTCATGGAGCCAAGAAAGGATGGGGCACGAAGGCCAAATCGGCCCGCCCCCAGCCTCACGGACATTCCTTTCAACCAGCCAGTGACCGACGTCTTCGACACCAAGACTGTGCCTGGCGATGCGTTTGACCTCATGTTTGAGAGGACTCAGCCAACGCCCCGGACCACGTCACTGCCACCAAGCAGGGTTAAGTCTATTACGTCTCCCAAACCCAAAAATTCTGTTGACTGCTTGGCAGGTCTGCCGCCTGTGGTTGGGGGGCGCTGCCAGGCCTGGAAGTCTTCAGGCGCTTGGAGCGGTCATGGAGAATCGAGGAGGACGGCAGTGTCAGCTTTGCGTGACCTCCTGCCTGGTGGCCGGCTTTGTTCCTATAGAGGAAAAAGCGAGGCACTTTGGGGGTTCTCCAAAGGAGGGATGGTGCCAACTGGCTGTGGCAAAGGAGGGATGGTGCCGGCGACGGGCCTTGTGGCTTGCTTCCGGCAACAGTCGAGGTTCTAAAGGGGATCATCGTGATGATGAGCGTGAAAGGACGAGGCAACAGAGGTCGGCGAGATGAATGGGAATTCATCATCATCCAGCAGACAGACCGCAACGAAAGCGCAACGTAGGTCTCTTCGGTGGTTTGGCCGGCTGAGATCTTGCGCATGGAGCGCAGGCGGTGGCGGGAAGGGTCGTTTCCCAAAGCATTCGGGGCGGTGTGGGAATCTCTATCGGCGGGACGTCGA